GTAGTTTATTTTAGTTATTAATTTGTATTTTTGTCAAAGAGATGCTGATTTGAAACCGTTGTTACATACAGTTAAGGCATTTCCTGTTTCTGCAGGAGAGAGGGGAGTTTGTCCCAAAGCTTGCCGCTGTATTTACTCCCTCCATCTGACAGGAGGGAGCCTCGTTGAGCTGTGAGTGTGGCTACAGAAGGAGTTCACTCCGTCATGGAGGGGTAGTGTGTAGGGCGTGGTTTGGGATTGGGCCTAAGTGTTTGAGCTCAGCAGGACTCACTTTGTTTTCTTCCACGCAGAGTTTGATCTCATGCAACTTTTTCTCTCTCTCGTGGATCATCTGCTGGATGTCTATTTCTGTCATCTTCAGCTGCGCCTGCACACACAAACAAAGCCGATGACAGGCAAAAACATGACACCACAAACATCCGTCTTTACTTTTATTGTTGTAGTTTCAGTTTTGGGGGCAAAAGCATGTAGCATTGCTGATATGAATACTTTGTCGTGGGCAGAGATGGGGTCGTTACTAAAAAAAAGTAATATATTACACTACTTCGTTACTGTCTACATAAAGTAACTCGTTACTTTACTCGTTACTTTACTCGCAGGGCCGGCCCGCCCCTCCCTACAGGCAGATCACGCAGACTGCGGAGCACCTACAGTGTAAGCGCGCCACAGTTTTGCCTCTGCGAGACTCCACTTGCACCCCCAATTACTATTGCATTAAGGAAGACATAACACAAGTCTTTCTTTTGATATGCTCTTTAATAAAAGAGGCTACCAGCCTACCACAACAAGCTAACAGTCTGTGAAACGTAAAGACACTAATTAATGAAACCAGTTCAAGACGCATTATTCTTATTCTTATCATTCTTTATGAGCGCAGTAACGGTAAGGTATCTAATGACTTATTTATTTAGTTTTCCATAACTTAGTAACAGAGATGGTCAAAAAGAGAGCGAGCGGCCCCGTTGAGGAAGTTTACAGATGAAAAGACATGTTTATGCAGCACTGCACGTGGAGATGTGGACGGGCAAATCGCGCAGATTACGTAGGCCTACATGTATACAAACCTGCGGCGGAAACCCCTCTTGTCTGTCAGTGAGTGTGATTATTTTACAAAAGTAACGAAGTAACGCGTGTCGGGGCAATGTTAGTAACTGTAGTGTGATTACTGAATTATAAAAGTAACGCGTTACACTACTCCGTTACCGACAAAAGTAATATTATTTCAGTAACGCGTTACTTTGTAGTGCGTTACACCCAACTCTGGTCGTGGGGACATGTTTTAAATGATCTTCAACATAAACACTTTTAGGTAATATAATGTGGTTGATCAGTAAGAGGTCAGACTAGATTCATTCCAAGATTGGGAAAAAACAAATAAACCTTTTTGAAAGTGTTATATTATGGTTAGTTAAAATGTATTTTTATTAAGTAATAGGGGTAAAATCAATTGATGGTTCAAAGTGTATATGACAACAATCCCCAATCGTCTAATCAGGAAATCATTTTCGTTTTGACAGTTGAAGATCACATTCTCTTTGGCTTTCTCAATCAAACAAACACCACCAATGAGGTTTCTACCTTGAAAGCCCCTCTACTAACTGATATAAGAAAACATGGATTGATTTTTACCTTTTTCTCCATCCATTCCCTCTCCACGGGGACGGTGTAATGCGCCCGGTGGTCGGTCTCGGTGCAGAGGACGCACACACAGGTCTGGTCCTTCTTACAGAAGAGCTCCAGGAGCCTCTCGTGCTTCGGACACATCCGGTCCTCCATGTTGGCGACGGGCTCGATCAGCTTGTGCTTGGTGAACCGGGCCGAATGAGCCTTCAGGTGCTCCTCGCAGTAGGAGGTGAGACAAACGAGGCAGGATTTGATGGCTTTTGGTCTGCCGTCGCCCAGGCACACATCACAGAATACCTCCTCCCAAGCAGGAAGTGGGAGTGAAGAGGAGGGAGGTGAAGAACTAGGGATTTGAGGTGAAGGTGGGGGGGATATTTGGAGCAGTGGAGCTGGTTCCTGATCTGGTGAGGGTGGAGGAGATCTTCTGGGTGCTGGCACAGGGGGGATAAGCGGTGGTAAATCCTCTGGGAGAAGCTTTTTCTCTTCCTTACTTCTCACCTCCTCCCGAACATCTTGCTTCTGCTCCTCCTCCAAAAGCCTCTCCTCATCCTCCTTTTTCTTTCTTTCCATCGTCCACTTCTTCTCGCCTTCCACCTCTTCGCTCACCTTTTCTTCCGCACTTCTAATCCTGATCTCCTTGAACTGCTCAGCGATTTCCCTCAGCACCGTGTTGATGCTAATGTCCGGCCTCTTGCAGAAAGACTTCTTACACATAGGGCACTGGTACAAAGGGCTGGTTTTCCAGTATCCCAGGATGCAGCCCTGGCAGAAGTTGTGTCCGCAGGGGATGGACACGGGGTTGGTGAAGACGTCCAGACAGATGGAGCAGTGCACTTGCTCTTCAGAAAGGTTCCCGGTGGAGGCCATTCCTGCACAGCAGATTGGCAGGGTCATTTTCAGCGCAAGCAACCAGGCTCTGAACCGGGCATCAAACCTGCTGTGATATTAAGGGGCGCTCGGGTTAGGTGGCATGACTTTAGGTGAGGTCATTTCATGCAAAATTATGAAGCAAAGCATGACAGGACTCATTTATTATCTCGAACTCAAGCCAGATATCGGAAATATCTCGGTTTGTAATAAGTGAGCCCTTGCAAGATTTGGGGAGTGTTGTTTATATTATTCCTTGTATTCGTTTTTAAAGGAGACATATCATTGTCGTTTTCAGGTTCATACTTGCATTTTAGGTTTCTACTACATATTTATTGTTCAAAAAATACTTTATTTTTCTCACACTGCCTAATTATAAATACCTTTCTAAGGCCTCGGTTTAAAACGCTCCGTTTTGACGCCTCTCTTTAAGAATGAAACTGCTCTGATTGGCTTGCAAGATAAAAATGGAGCAACTTTGCAAAGATAATTAATTGGTATTTAATTTAAACACATTACAAAAGCATTTTTAGAATATATTGAGCGGAATATATAAGAGGTGGAAAAAAAACTTTTCAGCATTCTCTGGTGGACGAACAACATTATGGCAACACTGTTTTAAAGTTACCTCAAACGTATTTTTGGCCATTTTGACCAACAAATATCTATATATTTGTGATAATCTTATACCTGCATTTAATATTTAAATAAGATCTGATTTCTGAACAAGTCATGTGTCTCTTTACTTAAGCTGCAGCTAAATATATCACGCTTGTTGATTTATTTTGAGTGTGTATGAAGCCGTAAGTGAGTTTGACTTTTAAAATAAGCAGCTCCCTAGGCCTAGCGCACTTATTCACAGCAGGCCGGATTAACAACTTTTCAAAAATATTAATCTAGCCAGTGACTTGTTTAGCTACTCCAAACAGCATAATCTGGATTACGCTGACATGGAAACAGAAAAACAAAACTTGATAGAAGGGTTTATTCTGTATAACTACTACAGAGAAAAGGCCTTAGCACAGATCATAGACACTTACTGCCAATCAGTGATACAAATTATACAAACAACACTCCCCAAATAGATCTACTGGTGCACAGAGGTGTGATGGTAAGGAAATGAAAATGCAGTG